GTTTTTTTTTTTTTTTTTTTTTTTTTTTTTTTTTTGAGATGGAGTCTCATTCTTGCCCAGTCTATCGTGCAGTGGCACAGTCTCGGCTCACTGCAACCTCCACCTCTTAGGCTAAAGCGTTTGTCCTGCCTCAGCATCCTAAGTAACTGGGATTACAGTGCCCACCACCATGTCCAGCTAATGTTTGTATTTTTCGTAGAGGTAGCGTTTCACCATGTTGGCCAGGCTTGTCTCGAACTCCTGGCCTCAAGAGAGCCACCAGGCCCAGCCTTTTTATCTAGTTTTTGACTTTTGACCCTATTTTCTTACCTCTGCCACAGGCCGGGTCAAAGAAAGGATCATCCTAGTCATGTCTTGGCTACATAGATTAGAACAAATGAGGACACATGGGATCATCTAGTCCAGCCCACTTGTCTTGTACGCCTGGATAGAGTAACGTGTGTGCAGTCACACAGAGATAGAAGGGAAAGTCCAGAGTTAGAGCCCATATCTCTGCCCAGAACTCTAATCGTTGTACTTACATTTCCCTAACTGAAGCAATGCGTGAAATTTCCTTTTGACATAGCACGATTTTCTTTAAGTCCTAGGTAGGTGTTACTTGGGGTGCTAACCCAGGAGGGCTCCAAACCTCATAGGTTGCAGTACCCATGGCACAGCTGACCTTAACTAAATGAAGTTCCTTTCTCTGCTTAGAGGAAGGTGCCTCCTGTGTTTCGTTTTGTTTTGTTTTTTTGAGACGGAGTTTCGCTCTTGTTGCCCAGGCTGGAGTGCAATGACGTGATCTTGGCTCACCGAAACCTCTGCCTCCTGGGTTCAAGTGATTCTCCTTCCTCAGCCTCCCAGGTAGCTGGGATTATAGGCATGCGCCACCATGCCCAGCTAATGTTTTTGTATTTTTAGTAAACATGGGATTTCTCCATGTTGATTAGGCTGGTCTTGAACTCCCGACCTCAAGTGATCCACCCACCTCAGCCTCCCAAAGTGCTGGGGTTAGAGGCGTGAGCCACTGCGCCCAGCCTGGTGCCTCCTGTTTTAAGACTGTAAGGCCTTTGATGACCCTGTGTGCAGTATGACATTAATGATGTATATGCCAGGGATAACATCCATGCTCTTCCTTCTTTCTCTTCTCAGGAGTTCCAGGATCTCTGGCCTCAGTTGTCCTTGGTCATTGATGGGGGACAAATTGGGGATGGCCAGAGCCCTGAGTGTCGCCTCGGCTCAACTGTGGTTGATTTATCTGTGCCTGGAAAATTTGGCATTATTCGTCCAGGCTGGTAAGTACCTTTCCTGTGGCGTGGGGAAATCATTTGAGAGGGGTTGGAGAGATGCGAAAACGCTTTGACAAGATAAAGATGGTGCCTCCTCTCTGGCCCCGAGGGAGCACGGGCCGGGTTTGGAGCAGTGGTAGTTGGCAGTGGGACTAAGTTTGCTGGCTTTATTAAGATTCAAAAGGATTCACCAATGGTTTGATGAACAGGGCATAACAGGGCCAGCAAGTTTAGATGTACCTGCTCACCAGCCTCTGGTGGGCTCGGGACTTAGAGAAATCAGACTGGTAACTGTCCTGTTTCCTCCTCAGTGCCCTGGAAAATACTACAGCCATCCTCCAACAGAAGTACGGGCTGCTCCCCTCACATGCATCCTACCTGTGAAACTGGGAAGCAGGAAGGCCCAAGGCGTGGTGCTGGATACTATGTGTGTGTCCATTGACGACTCGCAAGGCCTCATCCGCAGAGGCCACTGGAGCTAGGGCACTAGCCTGACTTTTTAGGCAGTGTGTCTTTCTGAGCACCGCAGACCAAGCCCTGGAAGCTGCTGGTTTAGCCTTGTACCTGGGGAAAGACTATTTATTATTCATAATTTCATATATCAGCCAAAAGCTGAATGGAAAAGTTAAGAACATTCCTAAGTGGCCTTATTCTAGTAAGTTTCTTCTGTCTGTTTTGCTTTTTAATTGAAAAGTATTTTAAATAACAGATTTACTAGTGAGAGCCTCTTTTCTGGTAGGTAGTGGCATTTAAGCTTCCAACCAGCTAGAAGTGCTGGTGCTGTTTAAAAAGTCTCAGGTGACTGCATATGGTGGCTCATGCCTGTGATCCCAACATTCTGGGAGGCCCAGGCAGGAGAACTGCTTTAGCCCAGGAGTTCAAAATCAGCCTGGGCAACCTAGCAACACCCCGTCTCATAAAAATTAATAAGTAAAAAGTCTCAGGTGACCAAAGGCACGGGTTGGGCTCTTGAAGCTAGAACCACATTAGGATAAAGATTGAAGAGCCACAAGCCACTCTTCCCTCTGAGCCATTGGGCCTAGTGGTGGTGTGTATTATAATTGCCAGCGCGGAGAGCACTCTTTTTGGGGTAATAGTGGAATGTCTGCTCAGTTGGCAGGGGTTGGGTCCAAATTGAAGAATATTGGGAAATCTCCACTATCCTTTTCAGCCAGGAGCTCTTATTTATTCATAAAATAAGTTATAGTTCATTATACCCATAGCACCTTTATTTAAATCCAGTGTTCTCCACAGCCTTTTGTCTATTTATATGTGTAAAAGTGTTAATTATTGTTGGGCATTTGAACTTTGTTTTTCTTTAATGTAAAGAAATGCTGCTATTAAACATATTTGTAAATGGTTTATTTTCTTTTGACTTACTTCCTTAGTATTAGGTCAAAGTGTATGAAGTATTATGGCTCTCAATATTGATTAGCCTTCAAAAGAACTGAGTTAAGTTACATTGCCATCAGCATTGTGTGAGAATGGCTGTCCCTGCCCCTGGCCGTGCTATGTTTAGTATTTTTCAAATTGTGTATGTGTGAAATGAAGCCTGTTTCTGCCTTCTGAAAATTACTGTAGGTCAACATCCAACCCTTTCAGCTGTCCCTGCCTGCCTTGGTTTTCCCAGCTAAGCCACAAGCCAGGTGGCCAGGCCTGCTTATCTCTCGGGTGTAGTGTCAGTTATCTAACAGGGGATGGGTGTCCTTGAGGTGACCATGGGTCTACTTCATCCTTCCTCCCTTTCCCTCTTGCACCCTAGTTCCCAGAATTCTGGTGTCTTTTCTTTTTGAGACAGAATCTCACTCTGTTACCCAGGCTAGAGTGCAGTGGCACAATCTTGGCTCATTCTAACCTCTGCCTCTCAGGTTGAAGCGATTCTCACGTTCAAGGGATTCTTGCGCCTCAGCCTCCTGAGTAGCTGGGACTACAGGCATGCACCACCATACCCTGCTAATTTTTTTTGGTATTTTTAATAGAGATGGAGTTTTGCCATGTTGGTCAGGCTGGTCTCGAACTCCTGGTCTCAAGTGATCCACCCACTTCTGCCTCCCAAAGTGCTGGGATTATGGGCATGAGCCACTGTGCCCAGTCTTGTTGAGTAATTTCCTAACCAAACCTACTTGTCGGTGCTAAAGCCATAGCCAGCCCAGCTCATATGCCAGTTTGTCACAGAATTGAAGGTCAGAATTGGTGAAGTCTTTTTTTTTTTTTTTTTTTTTTTTTTTTTTT